ACTGGAGGTGAGGTCTCACGAGTGCCGAGTAACAGTGTCTCCCGGCGGCCGGGCTGTGCTTCGGGTCGCGGTTGGCCGCGTGAGGAGGTGCAGTGACGAGATGCTGCTGCTGTTCCTGCAGGAGCTGGCTTCGTCTCCTGAACAAGCTTTGCAGCAGAATGTGCGAGGCTTTCCTCACCCCGTTCGTGCTTTCGCCAGCACCAACCTGTTGTAGGATGTGGCAGGTTTCAGTGGGGACCCTCCTGGACAGGCAGCTGGGACAAAGGAGACTGGCCAGGGGCCGCACAGCTCCCTGTGGGGTTTGAATGCCAGGCTGTGGAAGGGACAGGTCGTTTCGGTGCCTGTTCTGCTCGTGTTTGGCTTCTGATGCGATGCCAAACGTGGTGTGGGAGTCCGTAGAAGCTCACGTCTCGAGGCGTTGGCAGACGGCAGCTGTAGCAAACCCCAGGGCAGCTCTCCTGCCCGGAATCCCTGAGGTTGCCTGTTCATGCCCTCTTGTCTTCCCGTGCTCTGCAGGTGGCGTGACCCGCATGACCGTGTCGCTGGTGGTCATCATGTTTGAGCTCACTGGTGGGCTGGAGTACATCGTTCCCCTGATGGCAGCGGCCATGACCAGCAAGTGGGTGGCCGACGCCATCGGGCGGGAAGGCATTTACGACGCCCACATTCGCCTCAACGGGTACCCCTTCCTGGAGGCCAAGGAGGAGTTCTCGCACAAGACGCTCGCGATGGACGTCATGAGGCCACGGCGGAGCGACCCTCCTCTCACCGTCATCACTCAGGACAGCATGACCGTGGAAGACGTGGAGACCATCATCAACGAAACCACGTACAGCGGCTACCCGGTGGTGGTGTCCCGCGAATCCCAACGGCTCGTCGGGTTTGTCCTCAGGAGAGACCTCATCATTTCAATCGGTAAGAGGGAGGGTGCTGCGCAGGTGGGTGATGCCCTTGGAGGCCTTAATGTGGCACCAGCTGCAGCTTACTTGATGGCTTTGAACCTTTGCTGCTCCACGGTTCAGGATGCCTTTAGGTTCCTCTTGCTTTCAAGCTTGTTAGAAAGCTGCAAGTGCTGTTTCCCAGCAAAAGACCCCAGGGAGAAATTCTGGTCGTGTTATCTCTTACTGGCTGGGGCGAGACAGTGTGTCTTCTTGCTAGAGCAGAACTCTGTGTGTTAGTGTTGAGGTGCACAGGGGTGTGTAAGTCCTTAAAAATTGGACTTTTAAGGCTGTCCCATTGTGGGCAGAGAGAGAAAAGGGCATGCTCAGCAGTTTGGAAAAGGAAAGGAGGTTCGATGTTTCATCACGTATTTCTTCTTCCAGAAAACGCCCGGAAGAAGCAGGACGGGATCGTGAGCACTTCAATTATTTATTTCACTGACCACTCGCCTCCGCTGCCTCCGAGCTCCCCCTCCATGCTGAAACTCAGGAGCATCCTGGACCTCAGTCCTTTCACGGTGACGGACCAAACCCCCATGGAAATCGTCGTGGACATATTCCGCAAGCTGGGGCTGCGCCAGTGCCTGGTTACTCACAACGGGTAAGGGCGCTGGGCAGAGCCCCGGGTGCCCAGGAGTGCCTGTGGACGTGGGACTAAACCTCCTCTCCGGGCAGGAGCCCAGGCTCTGGTGCGCAGAGCATCGGCTGGGGAGGGGTGGTCTTGTTGGGGAGATGGGTGTGAGTGATGGTGAATGGAATCACAGAATCATTCAGGTTGGAAAAGACTCTTGGGATGGTCGAGTCCAACCACTAACCCTGCCAGGGACACGGGTGTGTGGGTGCCTGCTTCGTGCGGAGCGTTGATGCAGAAAGGCCCTGGGGTTAAAATTCGGTGAAAGTCGCTCTCTGTGGGGCTGCGTGAGAGCAGGGACACCTTCCGTGGGTATCGACGTGCTAAAAACGTTGCTTTTTGTGTGTTTAGGAAGCTGCTGGGGATCATTACCAAAAAGGACGTACTAAAGCACATTGCACAGCTGGCTAACCAGGACCCAGACTCTATACTCTTCAATTAAAGGCAGACCAGCAGGTATCGTGTGTTCCACACAACAGAAACTCCACGGAAGATCCTGGATGTACTTCCCTATTTTTATTGAGACCACGGAACTGTTTTCAGCGTTTCCTTCCACGGAGCTGAAGAAGATAATTTTTTTTTTCTACCAGATAACCAATTGCACTACATAATCTGTGGAACGTAAATCTTCTTTTTAGAAGAAGGAAGAAGAAAAGAAAGACTTCATTTACGTTGCTTTTGTGAAGTTGCATTGGAGAGATTCCATGAAGGAGTAAAAGCAGAATGCTAGAGGATTGTATCTGCTTATTTTATTTGAACTGTTGTTACTAACGTGGGGAGGACAAGACGAGGTCTGTACCTTCAGAAACGTTCCAGGAGAAGGATGATTTTGCACACACAGAGCGTTCAGCTGGAGGCAGAAGGATCCCGTTGTAACTCAGGGGTGGTGTATTCCCAATTAGCCACTTGGTAAAAATTAGAACCTTGGAAATTCAAAATAGGGGAAGGAAAAAAAAAAATGGCTAGCTGAGGGTGATTTGCTGAAAGAAGGAAAAAAACCGACCACACACAACCCCTAGAAGGCCAGATCTCCTTAAAATTGGGCCCAGTGGTTGGGAAGAAGCTTATTTTGATTAGTCTTTTGTGAATGTATTTCATTAATTACTCTGACGCTGCCTTGCCAAGAGACCCCCGAGGAGCAGGCGGAAGGAGGCGACAGTCGTGCTCTCGCTGTGATCCCCAATTTTTAAAATTTTTTTTAATGGATACACACCTGAGAATTTCTTCTCCTCCATTTCCCTCGAGCATATAATTAAAACGGCAAAGGCCAGCCTTTAAGTTATTGCCCT